ATCCACCAGGCGGCGGAGGAGTCCCAGACAGCAAACTGACATTGAATCAACGTGGAAACGACGTCTCTTATGACATCGAAACAACGTTGATTTTGCTCATCGAATTAACGTTGAACCAACGTCAGACGCGGCATTCTTCTAAGCCAGAGGTCTCAAACTCGCGGCCCGCGGGCGGGTGATATTTTGTGGCCCCCCACTTGACATTAAAGTTTAATGTGACTGCGGCCCGCCGTTGTGTTTGCCGCGTTTTTTGTTGTTGTTTTTTTTCCCTTATGGGCTACCAGATAGCCTCGTGACAGCTTACGGTGGGTTTGTTGCAATAGTTGTCATAGACAACCACGAAGTACAAACATATACTGCGCCTGGAAAAAATGAGCGCGTCGCTTCAATTATGAGCGCGCTTGATGCGCGCATGCATTTGAAACAAACTTGAGCGTGCAAAATATGTGAGCGCGATATGTGAACAGCCCCAAGGCGAGCTTCTACCACCGAATCAGGCTCGAGAGCAACGTGTTGGATATCCCTGCTCTAAAACAATGTGAGAATAATCATTTTGAGCTTGTAATATGTGTTGTGTCTGAACGCGTTCAATGAACGATAGTTAATGAACTCGTTCATATTTTGGGCGAACGTGAACTGAACGTAGCCTACTGTATTACTGCCTGATGAACGTTACAGTGAACTCGTTCATTCAAGTGGTTGTGAACCGAGGAGCGAGGAGGCGTCGTAAGATCATTTGAAAGGGTTTTATGAGGTCGGTGAGGATGGGAAAATGTCTGTGCATACTCTGCCCGTCGACAAAATAATTGTTATCTGTGGTTGTATATGGGCTGTGGCAATAATAATAGCATAATAATAAAAAAGAAGCTCGCAGCAACATATGGAAAAAAAGAACTATGAACTAGTTCATTAAGTATGAAATATGAACTGAACTAGTTCATTTTAAAATTTGTGAACTGAACTTTGATTCAACATGTTGATAAGAAGATTTGCTTTGATATGTGCAAGGTAATTTGCCTGAGATACTATACATGTGTAGAAAGAATTATTTGTATTTCAAAAGCAATAACTGTTTTTTTTTTTTTTTTTTTTTTTACTTTTTTTTAAGTAGCCTATAATAAAAGGAAATGTGCCTTCCGAAAAAACAAAATAAATCATTCAATATAATAGTGTTGTATAAAGAAAATAAAAAGCAAATATGACTATCCACACTATACACAAAGATGTTGTGTATAAGAAAAAGACAAAGAAAGTTTGTAAAAATGAAAGCGTAGCGCAAGTTCTGCCAGGAAGACTCAATTGTCACGTCATTATTACCTTCTCATCTATCCAATCGCGTTCTAATACGTGAAGTATAAAAGACCCTTACTTACACTTGTCTGAGTTCGCAGATGCTGACGCTTCACTCGTTCAGTCGCCAGCCAACATGTCCAGGGCACGCATATTGTTTACATATCGACATCCGACTATGTCCCGCTCTACCTCCTGCTGCACGTCGAGGTTCCCGCGTTCAGTATCGCATCTCTCCGTAGGCACAGCGGTCTTCGGAGAGTATTGATCAGCCAAGGCCTTCATGAGAAATTCTGCTCCTTAGACTGGTGCCATTTATCCCGCAGATCACCGATCCACCGACGTGAAATAACAACTATGCAAATCACGAGACGATCTCTCACTGGTTCAAGTTCAAGGCTTTCAAGTCGTTTTTGGTATTTTTGGTAGGTGCTTCCAGCAGCCACTGTTAATGTCTCCTCTACAAGATTATACTTGACGTGGCGTGTTCTGATCATTACGGCTGATCTGCGGTCTGCAGAGGGGCCGGATAGCTCGCATCAATGCTCGTAACAAGTGTAAGCAAAGCTTCGCGTTACTGATTCCACAGTTATGTGGTTATTTAATTATATCAGCTTTTTCAATACCATGCTCTGTTTGCTAATACCCTTCAAAAAAAAAAAAAAAAAAAAAAAAAAAAAAAAATTGTGTTCATTATAATTCAAATAAAAGTGCTTAAGAGCTTCATGCATACAGGGTTGCGCTTCTTAAACGTTCGCTTTCTCACCAGAGTTCGGTCGCGCGTATATAAAATAAAAACCAAAAGCACGTTGTCATTGGCCTTTATGCATACTCCGCAGTGGACTATGGCAATAATTTACATATAGCGTAATAGTAATTTCACAAACAACTATTTCACCTATTAGGCTACTCCCAGTTAACAATTTTTGGTTCCCAGAAGGCAGTGGAGATTTCTTTAAGACTGCAAGGGAAGCTCCCCAGACAGCAAACTGACATTGAATCAACGTGGAAACGACGTCTCTCATGACATTGAAACAACGTTGATTTTGCTCATCGAATTAACGTTGAACCAACGTCAGACGCGGCATTCTTCAAAGCTAAATGAAAATCGAAAATTGGTTTGCTTTCATAACGTTGAAACAACGCGTTGATTTCAAGTTGATTTTCCGTTAGTTTTGAAAGAATGACGCGTCTGACGTTGGTTCAACGTTAATTCGATGAGCAAAACAATGTCAGATCAACGTTGTTTCGATGTCATATTTCCACGTTGATTCAATGTCAGTTTGCTATCTGGGTCAGCTTCCCCTATAATGTCAAACAAATAATGATCTAATGTTTACTATTGTGTTAACATTTTAATGAGTAAAAATGCGTTAGAACACGGTAATCTCGAAGACGAGTTCGTTCAGAATAAGCAACAAATAGCAGGTCGGCTGACTTGATCTCCTTCTCATGCATACCTGTAGCGCGTCACAGTGCATGCATTTTCCTATGGCATTTCCCCGTTGAAGCTCGGCGTCCATTGACTTCAATGGGGCTGCTTTGAACAGTTTTTTTCAGTGCTGTTAAACTAGACGGTCATTGGATAAATGCTGCGATTATGTCCCGCCCACGGACGCCGGGCGTCTCTGGGGTGAATAGGGAAGTGGGCTGGCCTGGCGTCCGGGCGTCCGCGTGATGATTGGAGGATTGCATCTCCTTTTGATTGACAGCGATTTCACCCAATAAAAAAATCGCTGACGCGGAAGCTAGTTTAAAGACTTCGTGCTCAGTCTCGTCGCGAATTTTGTGTGTATTTTACTCGAAAGACGAACTACTGTAACATATTTCTTAGTATTTGCAATTTTCATCAGATATTTCACAGTTCAACCTAATTCCCACATTTCTTCCGTCGATGTCAGGTGTCTTGTTAAATGTGCGGGCGTGGTGTTTGAATCACGGCACATCTGTCTAGTTTGGTTTCACTTTTGTGTTGGGATTCGGACATGCATTCTCCGCGTGTTTGTTTTCAGTTGTGAGTGCACAGGATGACCTTATGGTCGTACTCATGCGTAACGTTAGCGTTCTGTCTTGTCGTGTTCGCTCTGTTCAGTGTGTTGTGTATTGTGTAGCACATGGTTTGTGTTTACATAGGCCGCGTGCTTTCATGTCATGTTTTGTCTTGTGCTGTGTAGCACACAGCTTGTGTTTTACACTAACTGTGTGCTTTCATGTTGTCATGTTGAACACGTGTCTTATGAGTGTTCTCATCGTTCTTCAGGTCTCATTTTGTGTGAGCACAATTGCTTTTTAATTTGTTTTATTGGTCATGTGTTTTTGTCACGTTTGGTATGAGCACATGGCTTGTGCTTGTCATGTGTTTGTTGTGCCATATGTGCTTTCCTGTCATTGTGTCGACTCCCATCTTGTTTCCTGATTATTAGTTATTTTGCCCCACCTGTCCTCCCTCGTTACCTGCCTTTTTTGCTCCCAATTTATTCCCCTTGTTTGTTTTTTGTTTGTTTTTGTCAATAAAATAAAGCCCATCAACTCTGCTTCGAGTCCTCGCTCTTTTCACCATCCCCACACCTGACATTCGAGTTTTAAAAAAAGAAGAAAAAAGAGCTTCCCCTCTTTGAAAGACCAGCAGCCGCCACTGCCAGAAGGTTCCCAGAACGTTACTTTCAGGTTCCCAGAACATTCTCAGAACGTTCCCAGAACAAACATTTCTAACGTTCCCTATTGGTTACCTAGGAAAGTTTTCTTTACGTTAATAGAACGTTCCCTTTAGGTTAGGGGAACGTTCCGGGAACTTTTCCGGAACGTTCCCAGAACGTTCCCGGAACATTCCCAGAACGTTCCGGGAACGTTCCCTAAAGGTTCCCGGAACGTTCTCCTAACCTCTACATCCCGATATGCCTGTACACAAATAAGTCAACAAAAAATTTCTTCTATGTTGTTTATTTTTTCCAAAACATAAGAATCGTATGAAGATTACTACAATAAATGTAATGTATGCACAACATTTTAATGCCACGAAAAGCCATGCACATATATTTTAAACAACATATTTATAAAAAAAAAATTCAAAATTGCAGTTTGAAACCATGAAGATAACCATGAAGATAAAGATTCTAAAACTAAAGAGATTAGCCTGTAATAATTTAATAAATGTAAATAGGACATATATGATCATATACTAATTAAATATCATGAGAAACTGACATTGTTTATTGTTCACATTGACCTGAATAGTAATATTATTTTTAAAAATTAAAACAATTGATTGTATGAATATAAAATCATTACAATAAATTGAATGTATGCAAAAAAATGTATCTATATAAAAGCTGTGAACATGTATTTTTATAAACAACATGTATTACAAAATTAAATAAAAAATAATAAAAAATAATCATGAACATGAAAACATAAATTCTAAGACTTTAGGAGATTATAATAATACAAGTTTATAAATGTGAATAAATGAAGAGTTCAGATGCAAAAGCCTCTAAGTGCCATTTGAAATTTTCTTCTAGAATGATCATTTTTATCAAGCTTGTATATTTAAGTTCAGTGATTTCACTTAAATTGCAATGATAATTACCTATTAATTGTTATTTAAGTGAAATTACTGAACTTAAATATACAAGTTTGATAAAAATCATCATTAAAGAAGAAAATTTCAAATGGCATTTAGAGGCTTTTGCATCTGAACTCTTCAAATGTGAATATCTCAAGACAATTATCAATGAGAAACTATATACACTTTTGTTTAGCACACATATTATACATAAATACATAAAAAGCCACAAAAAACGCAGGTATACACGCATGTGTGCGTGTGTGTGTGTGGTGTGCTTTTGTAAAAGTGTATTGTCTCAGTCCTTTGTGTCTCCTTCAGCAGGCATCCTGTTTTGGGATAGAAAAAGATCAAAGATTAGGACAGTGCAAACCATAGAGTGTAAAAAAAATATTTGGACGTAGTGTCCATGACGTCACCCCGTAGGTTTCTGAAAAGCATTTTCGAAGCCTAAAGTGGATGGGGCTTAATAATTAATTATTATTCATTTGTAATATTATTATGTCATTAAACGTTTTACGTAAATATGCTATGAAAGCAAAAAATGTTGGCAAACAGCAATGCCGTTTACATCTTGCTTAAACAACTGTATATGACGAGTGATGCGTATCATTTATAAAAAAAACTATTGAAAGTTTGTGAATAGATCACAATGTAGACTGAGGAATAATCCTCCGTCCTCACTCATGTCGGTTTCGCAAATGTAAACAGACACATGGGGATCACTAGGGCTGGGTATTGTTAGGTATTTCACAATTCGATTCGATTTCAATTCTTGAGGCTTCGATTCGATTCGATTTCGATTCGATTCAATATTGACTTATTAGCTTCGATATCGATTCAATAATAAGTAAATACACAAGTAATTAAGTGCCTGAGTATATTTTTAAGTAAGGTGCGCAGTTTTACCAATGTTAAAGAACAAATTGACCCCAGCATGTTTGTTTCCAGTCATGGTTTATTCAGCAGAATACAAATTTACAATATTGTATGTGTTGAATTCAAACACAACTGTGACGAGCACTGTACAGTGCTTTAACAACACCTCTAAAGTGCAAGTAACTAAGTAGTAGAAAGTATATTTCTTTCTTCCTATACATTCAAGTTATAAAAGAAATGTAAACAGAAGCACAAAATGTGCATACTCAAAAAAGTGCAATATTATATTCTAATTATAATTTTGTAAACAATAACACTTAATAGCTGATTACACAGGCCAATTCTAAGGGGGAAAAATACTAACCTTTTTCCCTCTCAGAAGTTTATATCTCATAGACTTTATATCATGCATTTCTGACTTTATATCACGCAATTCTGACTTTATATCATGCATTTCTGACTTTACATCACGCAATTCTGACTTTATATCACACATTTCTGACTTTATATCATGCATTTCTGACTTTATAACACCCAATTGCGACTTTATATCACGCAATTGTGACTTTATATCTCGCAATTCTGACTTTATAACACCCAATTGCGACTTTATATCACGCAATTGTGACTTTATATCTCGCATTTCTGACTTTATAACACCCAATTGCGACTTTATATCACGCAATTGTGACTTTATATCTCGCAATTCTGACTTTATATCTTGCAATTCTGAGAAATAAAGTCAGAATTGCGAGAGGTAAACTCCCAATTGTGAGGAAAAAAAAGTCAGAATTGTGAGATAAAAAGTCGCAATTACCTTTTTTATTTTCCATTCTGTGGCGGAAACAAGCTTCCATAGTTCCCGGCTTACAGTGGAATCCAAAATGAGCCCAAACGTCGGCTTTTAATGTTGGCGGTGCAGTCTTGAATCAGGCTTGAACGGAGTGCAGCTGCTGTCCGTCATCGCGCTGTTTTGCTAAGGGCTAAAGCGCGACTTGTACAACGCTGAACGCTCTCACTAGAGTGTAGCCCACAGCGCCGCCACTGGCCTGGATGGCTGAATCGATTCATAGGATTTGATGAATCGATATTGAATTGAGAAGCAAAAAATTGCAATGCATTGATGAATCGATATTTTTACCCAGCCCTAGGGATCACACTTGGATGTTGGATCGTCTGAATACATAGTTCCCACATGACGTCACAACATACGGGCATTTGCCGACCCGGCGCCATTGCTGAGGGCAAAACATAAGAAGAAGCAATACGAGTTGAACGAAGTGAAATGAGTTTCGTGCTATAAAGTGAAAATGGTCATCTCCTGCTGAGTCAATGGATGATAAAATCGTGCCGGAGGTTCAGTTAAATCGGGATTTTACACTATACCCGTCATTAGAAGGATATGGATGTGAGAAGACTAAGCTTTTGTCCGAACAACGATGGAGATTATGGCTGGCGAGCATGAACAGGAAAGAAACTCACTCAAAACACGCACGAATTTTTTTGACAAAAGCACAATGTTGTGTTTTATTGCGAGTGTAAATAAATATAAGTTAACACGTTGCAGTTTGAATAATGTCCTGTATGAACAAAATGACGAGGTATTAAAAACATACAAAACAACATTGTTTCCACTGTTTGATCTCACATTCCAGCATTGCAATCTCAGATTATGTCCCTAAAGATCCCGCGTATAATGTAGTTCCTCATTTATTACATTAATTAAATTGCACGCGAGTTATTTATTTTAATATTCATGCACCGAACCATGACGCCCGCAAGTACATGCATATTACAGAAATCACCGGTGACTGGGGAACATAGGAATTAAGTTGTGCAGGCTATGGCTTTTTAATAGACAGATTAGCATCATGCTACTTCGCTATGATGACTTAAGTTACTTTTCCATTGATTGCACTTGAGCAAACGTCACCAAACCAACCCCACGTCAATCTGATCGTACACCTCCAGTGATTTCCAGGCTTGGAATTGCTCACATGTGTAAAAACTCCTCACCAATACCAGATAATTGTACACATGAAAATACTGTATCTGAGGCAAAGTTGCATAATCGGTGCTCAGTGCTTCTTTTGTTGCATAAGGATACACACCATTTATGAATGAAATTTTCGCATTGTACCTCTCTATGTCTTGCTTTAATAGTCTCTTTATAATCTATTACACTTTGTCTTTTCATGATTTGCATAAAAATATAAACAGACATAAATATTTGTTTGTAAAACGACATTCTCTGATAAAACGTTGTAAACGCCTATGGTAAACACAGCGGTTTTGCCCTCAAAGATGGCGTCTCCGGGGAGGTCACGTGACAATTTTTTTGCCTGTGGGAACTATGTATATTACCTTTCTGCTCGTCTCCTCAGATCTCTTAACTTTTGTGCCATGCAGACCTTGATCTCAGTGCCTCCGATGCCTGGGTGCCTCTTTTTGACATAGTCTGTAAGAAATTAGATTTATTACATTAAAATTTGAAAACAAGTTTGTCATGATGTGACATAACTGCCAGATTCAAACTGTGCTTTCCAAGCTATGGCTGTCGCTGACAGACGCGCTCAGCGCTTGTCATATAATAACTATTGATAAAAGATATTCAGACATGCTTACCAATTATTAGCTGCACCTTTTGTAGGTCAAGACTCTTTTTTCACCAACAACCCCTTTTTTCCCGTTCATGTTGCCATCTCTTTGAAGACAAGATGGAGTCCATAAGAGTTCTGGTTAACTTTTTGTAACCCTTACATCTCTGAGCATGATCCAAACTGGCTTCATTAAGTCAGTCACAAACTTGTTCTGCAAAGCAAAAAATAAGATAGAAAATTTTCGTCAGGACAGAAACTGTGATCTTTTCAACGTTATTGCATATTAGATGAGGTTTTCACGTTGGAGCTGTGAGTGTAAATTTTAGCATACAAGTATTTATTGTTTGTGCTCGAGTCTTGTTACTCTTTTACCTTCATAGGTATTCCAGAGTTTAGGGGTAAAATGCGAGAAATCTCCTTTAGTGGACTTTTATGCTGGGCACTACTCACTGATCTATATAAATGACTTGATTGCTCACAACGTCATGTAAATTGAAGTCACCATATTCAATTGAATTAATAGGAAATCATCTGACTTGAATGAGAAACATGACCTAAAAAGTCAGTGTTTTTTATATTTGAATACTATACATTCTTACTATGTAAACATCTAACCCTAACCCTAAACATTTCTGATTATTATCTATGTTAAAAACAGTTATACTGATTAATGCGTTTGTGTAAACCATTGTAACAGTTTAAACCATTTTCCCCTCCAGGATTCATTGTTAAATAGACCACAAAAATATGAAGGGTAGTTTACACTAATGTTCAAACATTTGGGGTCAATGATAGATTTAAAAATTAATAGAACAAAAAAAGAAGAAATTCATATTTTTACTCCGCAAGGATGCATTACATTAACAAATATATTCAAATAAATGCTGTTATTTAAACCTTTCTATTCATCAAATAATCCTGAAAAACACAAAGCAGCACAACAGTTTTCAACACTGATAATAATCATAAATGTTTTTTATTTATTGAGCTTCCTCGGCTCACCTGGCTGTGTCCTAACGTTACTTCTCCGGCAGCAGCTGTCTTCAGAAATGTTGAAGTAACTTAGTGGAGCTTTCTCTCTGTTATGGGTTATTTCATTACTACTGAAATCACAGAACATTTAATCAAAATGTGTTTAACGTTACCATTGAGCTAACGTTAGTTTCGGCCAATTGCTCCTAAAAGTCCTGAAACATCACCGATACGTTACGTTTACGTTTGTGTTAAATAAATTAGCTCACTTCCCAGTAAAACCCTTACAAAACCTCTCATTTACACATAAGAGGTGATTAAAAGAAACTTTAATAAATAAAAGTTCAACCGAGTTAACGTGGATGTTAGCCTTGCTAACGTTAACGTTACCTCTTTGCTAAGTTACCTCTAACGGACTTTTTCCGAAGACACTACACCATGTCGATAAAGTACATTTTTAACAGATTCGTGTCAATTACAAGTAGAAGAAATGTCAAAAACAGTTGTGAGTATTATTCGTGTGCTTTTAGAGAGTAATCTCACCTGAAAAAAGCCGTGAAAAGTTGAAACAACAGCGAGACGAGAGGGAGTTTTGTTTACCAGTAGCAGTGGTCCCGCGCCGTTTCCATGGCAACTCTGCGCGCCGGCCGCTCCAGTGTTTGAGAGACTCGAAAGTTCACGTGCACGGCATTGATGATAAACCACGTCAAAATCAAGCAGCACGTATACATATACATACAATAAAGATGTCCTGAAAGTGCTTTGTAAATAGAATATGAAAGCAGTAGCCTATTGATTATTTCAAATAACATATTGTCGTTGAATATTCAACTGTAAACCTGGACTTTCACAGAGAGCTTTAGGTTATTAAATTAAACCTATAAATAACCTGCAGGGAACGTTCTGGGAAGGTTCTCTTTAGGTTACAAAATTAAACCTAAAAATAACCAGCAGGGAACGTTCCCGGAACGTTCTCTTTAGGTTATAAAATTAAACCTAAAAATAACCTGCAGGGAACGTTCTGGGAAGGTTCTCTTTAGGTTACAAAATTAAACCTAAAAATAACCTACAGGGAACGTTCCCGGAACGTTCTCTTTAGGTTATAAAAATTAAACCTAAAAATAACCTGCAGGGAACGTTCTGGGAAGGTTCTCTTTAGGTTACAAAATTAAACCTAAAAATAACCTGCAGGGAACGTTCCCGGAACGTTCTCTTTAGGTTATAAAATTAAATCTAAAAATAACCTGCAGGGAACGTTCCCGGAACGTTCTCTTTAGGTTATTAAAAAAAAAACCTACAGAGAACGTTCTTAGAACGTTCTTATTTGGTTCCCAAAAAATAACCAAATGGGAACCATATGGGAACGTTATGGGAACGTTCTGTGTTTACTGGGCTTTAAATTCATAAGTCACGTTATACTTAAAATATATATAAACAACATTGGAAATGTGTTCATCTAAAACTCAACTTTCTGGCGGCTACTTAATCTACTAATATGCATTATAGGAATCATTTATGTGAGGGGCATTTTCACATTAACGTACAGAGAAACACAGACTAAAAGGAACAAGGAGTTGTGTGGCGCCGTTCAAAGTTACATATACTTGCCCAAAAAACTGCCAACTCCATAATCATATTAGTATACCAGACTAACCAGTGAAGGAGACTCGAGTGACATTGTCTTATGCCTAGTTCACACTACATGATTTTAAAATGTCGGGCTGAACTGTGCAGTTCACACTACATGACTTGCTCTCAGTGAAATCATGAGTGTTCAAGTTGTTTAGCTGTTCACACCACACAACACAACATGATTGATCCACAACAGGAGGTAACTCACTACACGAGTTAACAACGCACTACATAGAGATACAACCACGATCGGATGATAAGAGCATATCATTTGTGACTCAATGAGAGCTGTTTCAGTACTATAATACGGTCTAAATCCTGAAAATAATCAAACAAATAACGAGTTGACAACAACACGATTCTATCTGGTCTAGAAACCATGTTTTGTAACGAAAAACCACGCAATAAAACGAACCAGAAATGACGCGAAACTGCAGAGAAGAACACAACACGCGAATATGGACGTCAGACAGAAACTAGTGCTGCACACTGTTTGCGCGACGATCTTTTCTGAGAAAAAAAAATGCAAAAAAGAAAAAGTAAGATTTACCTGGTGTCCTCAACCCATGCGTTGCTATGATTGGCTGTACTCATGACATCACTGAGATTGAGTCGCGTGACTGCGCGAGATATCTAGCATGCTAGATATTTTTCTGAGCTCGGTGACCTGTCTGCGAGCTGTCTTTGATACGTTGTTGGCTCTTTCACACTAACTGATTGGCGAGCGTTAATCGTCCGCTAATCGCCCGCGATTTGCACGCGATAACACCCCCCAGATAGCAAACTGACATTGAATCAACGTGGAAATATGACATCGAAACAACGTTGATCTGACATTGTTATGCTCATCGAATTAACGTTGAACCAACGTCAGATGCGTCATTCTTTCAAAACTAACGGAAAATCAACTTGAAATCAACGCGTTGTTTCAACGTTATGAAAGCAAACCAATTTTCGATTTAATTTAGCTTTGAAGAATGCCGCGTCTGACGTTGGTTCAACGTTAATTCGATGAGCAAATCAACGTTGTTTCAATGTCATGAGAGACGTCGTTTCCACGTTGATTCAATGTCAGTTTGCTATCTGGGCCTGACTTGTCGGCGACTCAACGATTTGCAAATCGGGCTTAAATCGGGCTTAAAATCACGTAGTGTGAACTAGGCTTTAGTCAACTGCGCGAATTTCATGTCTACGCACCATTTATTCAAGAATCTCAACTGTCGTGGCCAGCGTCTTCCAGCTATGTATGGGGTATTTCTGCAAAGAGCAACTTGGGAGCCATGGCAGACATTTGCCGTACACCTGAGAAAAAGATTCCACGGTCAAGAGTCAACAGATGAATTATCACTTGGATTCCTCTTTCACATCCTGATTATGGCTCGCGGTTCTTTCTTGTATACAATTGTGAAATTTAAATTTAATATTCCTTCCATTCGTAGTTTGCTCGCAGGCATTCAAATTCACGCAAGTATTTTAATCCTAATTTTTCAAGTCTGTTCCCCGTTACTTCTCTTTGTTTGCTTAACACACACACACACATATATATATATATATATATATATATATATATATATATATATATATATAATAAAAAAATAAAAAAATAAATAAATAATAAAAATAAATAAATAAAAAAAAAATAATAATAATGTGTATAATTGTGCCTTCTTTCTTTCGCAGGAATCGGATATGCACGGGTATGCTGGGTTTTACTCAGAATGCCTCAAAATAATTGAGTAGTAATGATCATTCGAGGGTGAGTAAGCATCTTGTTTTGCCTCCACATTTGGATGTGGTAGGGCTGCTGCTTCCGGCACAGGGATCGGAATTTCAACAGCTCGGTGCAGCTTCGATTACCATCACCGACATTTAACTTTTTCACTTGTTCAACTGGAATCGCATAAGATGGAGTCTCAGGAAGTGTCAACATAGTCAACATTCCAGATGGTTGTTGATGGATTATGTAGCTCATGCGTAGTTATCTCTAGTCACCGGTTAGGTTATTCTGTTTCGATATTCTATATATCATGTCCTGCTGGCAGGATCAATTATATTTAGGCTGTGATGAACTAACCCAGGAGGAATGTCACTAGCTCCTCCCAGCACTGTTGTATTCTTTAAAGCAATTTTTAAATGAATTCTTCCACTGTTGAACTTTAAGTGTTTAACTTTGCAGATGTCGGTTATGCTTAAAACAGCAGCATTACACTCAAAGTCAGAAAGCAAAATCCACTCAACCCCTTTTGACTGTGTCTGTCTGCAGTGGTCCCTTCTTATCGTTATCAGATTATAGCTGCCTGTTCCAGCATTCAAGGCTCATTCCAGGTGCTAAATACTCCAGATTTTCCCCATGGTCTTTTCTAATTTCATTCCTCACCTAATTCCATCCTCAAAGAGTGACTTTAAAGGCTTTGTATCACATTATCAATTTATAAATTGGGATTAAATTCTGTCCCTTCTCATCCGCGATCAAATTACTATCTATCATAACTAACAGAGCACTACTCTTAACCTGGTTCAGGATTCGTCAGTTTTGTCCTCTATAGCTGCAGTCTATCTCCCTCCCAGTATACTGGTCATCCTTCAGGATCTGGGCAGCCACTACAGCAGCTGATCGTGGCGTTCCACTTCAGTTATTAAGATCCTGGACAGATGGTCTTCCTCTGCAGCGGCGTTATATAAGACCCGATCTAAAGATCATTCTCGAAGCCCAGCAAGCATTGCAGTAACGATTCAGGTAAATTCCTATGCAATTACTGGTGGTGGTGTATGCTTTATCTATCTGGTGATAGTTTCAGCTCGAATAATTCGCCTTGCGCCATCACTGGCTATATGGTCCTTAGGGGGCTGGCTTCGTGCAGCCTAGTGGCTTTTCTAGGCACGTTTAGTTATGCACTGCTCTAGCAGCCTAGCGGCTCAGCGAACCTAGTCTATGCGTCGATTAACATGACCTTATCTCTGTATGGTTCTGCGTGGCCTCGTCTCCGTGGGGCTCA